ATGTGCACCATTTCTACAACCAAGAGTAAGAACTTTTTTAAAAAAAGAAAAATAGCCTTAACTTCATTAAGGGTATTGAAAATAGTATTAAAGATAAGAAATGTAAAATAAAATGTCTGAGATTAAGCAGGTCAAGAGCAAAGGGCTTTCCTAATATTCACAAATCACAAATTATAGAAGCTTCTTAGAAACTACTCAGGAGGCAAGTGATTTGTGGCACAAACCATCTACTCAATCAAGTAAGGAACAACCATTCTGCATGCAAACACTGCCTCTACCCGTCCCTCTCAATCGCCCATTCTACCAATAAACACTGCTTCTTTCAATAACTGAATCAGCCAATTTAGCTCTCTTGCTTAGAGGGTGGCAAGCTTCTAGTGTACCTGAGCCTACCTAACAAATTGGCAAGTCTGTCCTCCTTGAACACCCATTTTAAACACTATCTTAGAAACCAAATGGTTTATGATTTCTTAAGAATTCTTTTTTTGGTTGTTTTGTTTTTCAAAATAGGGTTTCTCTGTATAGCCCTGGTTGTTCTAGAACTCACTATGTAGACCAGGCTGGCCTCAAACTCACAGAGATAGCCTGTCTCTGCCTCCCTACTCTCCTCAGAGCTGGAATTAAACGTGTGAACTACCAGAGCCCAGCCTAAAAATTCTTATTAAAGAGATGAGTCCCACAAATGATTGGATCCAGCTAACAAAAAGCAAATGTTCTTCCCCTTGGGACAAAATGCATTTGAAATAAAAACTTATCTCAAGGTTTCTGTAGTTACCACATTATTTCTGCAATGCCTAGAGCCTAAGGTGTCTTATCCTGCCAAATCCAGGATGCATAAAGGTTATTATGACTACTATTCTGGTTCCTACTATGTCATAACCAATCCCCAATCACTGTTTCCCTTCAGTGGAAACAAAAGCTAGGAGTAAATCACCCTTCCTTAGTTATCTGTGGATCTCTTTCTGACATTACACTTGTTTCTACTATGCTTGACTTTTATTTAACATAACTTAGGCCCTAATGCTCCCTTATGGTTGAATGTTACTGATTCCGGCAATTAGAAGTCATTTATCCTTCTTAATTTCTCATCAAAACTACTCCCAAATGGAAGAAAGTTAGGTTCAAAGCTGTCTCAATGACAGTATCCTTTCTCTTCTTTCATACTGGTTCATATTGGTTTAAAAAAAAAAAAAAACACCAGAATCTGACAGGCCTTGTGGTGCACAACTTTAATTCCAGCACTAGGGAGGCAGAGGCATGGGGGTCTCTGTGAGTTTGAGGCCGGCCTGGTCTACAGAGTGAGTTCCAGGACAGGTTCTAAAGCTACACAGAGAAACCCTATCTTGAAAAATAAAACAAAATCAAAATCTGAGTCCCAATCTAAACTTTTATAAAGAACAGGTCTTTTTAAAAATGTGATAACATGCACAACCATCATTTGCTTATTAATCAACTGTTACCTCAAAACAAAGAATCCAAAAACACAGAAACTGGTTTTAAGAAAACCGTACAAAGAGAATTTGTACACTGAATTACAAAGACATCCTGAAGGTTCTTCCCATTTCTAATGCAGCCAGTTAGTTCTCAGGCCACAAATCACCCTCCACACCTTCAATAAAGGCTGACACTCCTCCCACTTCTTTAATGGCAGAGAGGAAACTAATTGCTTATTGTTCAACTGTAACTCTTCTCCGCCATCATCACTGAACAGTAGTAACCTCTGTTTCGTAATACTTCCTTACCACATTATCTACTTATCAAACCCAGCCCAGGCAGGAGTCGCTGTTAACACAGGCATGAATCTTTTCAAACAAACCCGGCTAAGTATATACAAACATCAGAAGTAGCCGCTTCCCCTTGTGCAAACTTGCAGAAAGTCTACAAGTTTCTATTTCTCTCCAGTCCATTAAAAAGCAACATTAAGACAGGTAAGGAAACAATTTACATTTCAGCCATGTGATATTTAGTATTTTAGTGAAAGCATGACCCTTATATACCTAGTATCTTACTGTGTCTTTTCAGACAGAATTGGCACTATTTCCCAATACCCTAACCCCAATAGGTAGGGGTTAGAGTCCACACATTTAACTTAACACAACTAACTTTGAAACTATTTTAGGACATTCTCTTCTCATAAACTTAGAGCTCTTATTCCTCACAAATGAAATACCAGCTTTAGAATTATTTGTGAAAAATAGTTTCTAGAAAGGATATTGCACCCCTTAGAACATTCCATTAGAACATTCTTCCAAATGCCATTGCGCCTTGAGTGAAAATGTTAGATAAAGTAAGTTTAAAAAGCCAGTAATTGGGGCAGGAGAAATGGTTCAGTGGTTAAGAGCACTGGCTATTCTTCCAGATGACCCCGGTTCAATTCCCAGCACCCACATGGCAGCTCACAACTGTCTGTAACTCCAGTTTCTGGGGATCTGACACCTTCACACCAATGCACATAAAATGAATTAAAAACAAACAAAAAAAGAGCCAGCCATATGTAACAAGCACGAACTTTTTTGGGGGTGGGACCCTGAGGTTAACTGTATATAAATCCAGACTGGCTTTGAACACTCCTCCTTCCAACCCCAGCTTCCTTCCCAAGCGCTAGGATTACAGGTGTTTGCCACCACACCCTGCTACAGTCACAGATTTTTATATTTCATTTTAATAACTTGGTATTTCTCCATCTTAATAGTTGGCAGTCTCTGAAGAAATACCATGCCTACAAATGCTAAATTGTTGGGATTCCAGGAGGTTAGAACTTGATTTACTATTTAGTCAGAGTATCTAGTGACTGAAATGAACATTCAGACAGAAAGCGTCTCTAACACATGGCCGGCTTGGTCTGGACTTCCTTTTTCCTCACCCGTTCACCCATTATCTTCTAGCTCCAAGGTTCAATTTCCCTGACACATTCTATAACACTACAGTGTTGTCTCATTAGCCACCTTACACTGCTAGTGAAAACAGAGAATTCTTCCATGGCTCACAACTGTCCTCAAACTCACTATGCAGACCAGGCCTGGCTTGAACTCACAAAGATCCACCTGCTTCTGCTTCCTGAGTGTTGGGTTGAAAGGTCAACGACACCAAGCCTGGACCACAAATGGACTTTTATCACACCCTCTCTCCCATAGTCATTTTTTGGAAACCAATCTTTTGAATCCTAACACCTTATACATTCAAGGGAGGTCAAGTTTTTCCTATGCACTCCCATCCTAAGCCTCCGCTCTTCCCCACAGTCTCAATAACTCATCTCGACTTGGAGAAAACCCTTCCACGGAACAGGGTTAACAGGCCTGCCACTGATACTGATTCAGGGGACAGGTTAGTATCTATGTTAACACCAAAACAAAGTCATCATCCTATCAAAACTGCAATAATCACAGTCACTACTGCTAAGGGGTTAAAAACTCTTCTTCCTGGTATCTGCACACAATGTATAAGTGTTAAAGTCAAAATCATCTCAGCACTCTCTTCCAGCAACGTTACAACTTGCATCTCTTGAAGAAGCTCATCTTAGAAACATTTTAGTAGAGGAAGACAGTAGGGATAAATGAAAGGCTGGTTTAAAAAACACTGTCTGGAAAACCAGGCTTGTTGGCACACGGCATTAATCCCAGCACTTGGGAGACAGAGGCTGGAGAATCTCTGTGAGTTCAAGGCCAGTCTGGTCTACAACGCAGGCCAATCATGACTGTTACACAGACAAACCATGTCTCAAAACAAACACACACACAAACAAAATGCTGTCAGGAATTCAGAACTCTGTAAGGTATTTTAGAACTGCATGAATACAGTTGATGATTCAACTTCAGTTAATTAGTACAAGGACTCCTGACAACTTACCCCTGGATTAAGCAATGCCCTCTTCGATAGCTCTACTGCTTGATGAAAGAGGCCACCTAATCTAACCTGGATGGTGGGATGAGGGTCTCACCAATCGCACAACAGGACAACTTTCAAGACACCGGGGCGCGGGGTGGTGGGGTCCCTGTCAAGTCCACAGTTAAGGTTTTCCTGGTAAAGGAAGTTCAGAATGGGGTAGGAAGAGGCTGTCTGGGTGAACTTCCACAACCGCACTGCCTAACTTTCCCAACTCTTCCTGTTGGGGCTGCAAGACTCTACAGGAAGCATGTACTTGAGGGGACCTGAGAAGGAACCCTAGAGAAGGTACTGCCGGGCTCCGAGGGCGTTCCTCTCCTCCCCAGTGCGAGAGGCCTGCACTGCTTGCAGGATCGGGACTAGGAGAGGAAGCCCAGCTTCCAGGGACCGGGAGGGCACTTCAGAACAGCAAATGCTGGGGAGCTTCACACAGTTGAGGAGCCGGGCAGACTTAGGGAGTCCCGCATGTTGGGGAGCCCAGTCGAGACTGGGGAGTCGGGCAGAACTCGGGAACCCCACACATCTACGAAGCCAGGTAAACCTGGGGAGTCCTGCATGGTTGGGAGCACCTCATCGCTGGGGAGGCGGAGGCCCGCAGGGCTTGGGTAGCCGGGTAGAAATGGGGAGCCTCGAATAACTGGAGAAGCGGTATAACTGGGAGTCTCACATGGTTGT